TTTTTTCTAGCAATATATATCATTGCAGTCTTACAGGAAATAATTTGACATTGACAGCTACTAATATAAGTTAGTGGTATATTTAATATATGTGCTCTTATTTATTTTGTCCAAGGTACTATACGTGAATGCAGTAGTCTCGTTAGGATGAACGAGTTGCGCAGGCAACTGTGATACATTAGCATAATAACTATGTCGTTAAGCAGTTTCTTATTTTAGTTTGTGTATATATGTTTGATACATTATGTATAATTATATATATTAATATTAATACTATACATAATATAAGACACAATCCTGTTGTCAATACGTGTCCATTTTCTCGATTAAGGATTCTGGATGCGTCTCGACATAGTGACTTATGATAAATATAGCGTATCATTACCATACTCGACGTATCACGTTTTGCTAACAGTATTTATTACGACAATACATTATATATCGATTATTAGTGTCAAATCTTCATACAATACTCTCGATATTCATGAATATTACTCAGGAATTCTAATAACACGTTATCGTTAAATCATTAAAAATTACGCGAATGATAATGTTCAAATCAATGAATAGTACGAAGTAAGATTCGATGCACTTAAGACGAATAATTTTAGAATATTAAACGCACAGTTCGTGCTGCCAAAAAAAAGTTTTCTTTATCTGACTAATTAATCAATATATTTACGTGTAGATGACTTAAGCTGAAAATAAGTTACGAGTATTGTAGATGGAAAGTACAATGTTATTTAAATGTATGTGCGGTATATAAGATAAGACATCTGTTTAATAAAGAGGAGTGTCTGAGCATCCGAAATTCATCAATGTCTATTAATTTTTTAAAAGATTTCAGGTAGATGGTATATGGTAGGGCTTTCATATAATAATAGTACATACAGGATTTTTCTTTTATCATAACATAGTAACGTTTACACATTTACAAGACATAGTATACAGTTGTTCGATCGATCAGGCTTTTTGGATTACAGATGAACCAAAATCTTTTATCCAGCAGATCAATTCTATTCTATTCTACACGTTTTCGCTATGTTTTCGGAGGTTCTGTTTGTCGTTCTATTTTGAATCCTGCCTTTGATGTCGTAGTTGTTGTTTTACTTGGTTCTGTTGTCTACAACATAGAACAAATTATGCAGAACATATTATAAATTCATGAATAGCGCTATTTTTTAGGAACCTAAAAAAGTAAACTAAATGAAGAGAATTTTAAGTTTTGAATTAGTAATAAACCTACAGACAGTATCATATGCAGACTACATCAAGAAGGCATGTAAAAAAGTTGTCAGTTTTAATTAAATATTTTTGTATAGTTATTTATTTTCAAGTATAAAAATAATTTAATATACCTTGTAAACCATTTGTGGTTGTTTACCAAATGACAAAGGTTTTACTATCCCTGACTTGCTAAGCTGTTTAATAGCCACTGTTGTGCATCCTATATATACATTGTCATTAATTTTTTGTATACTCAACAGTTTTGAGAAATATTTTTGTTTAATTACCTATAGTGACAGTATATCTAAGAGGTGTAAATATTTTATAAAGAAGGTATGCTAAAGCCCAGTTTCCAACACTGGAGTTTCTTATTGACTCTATATATTTATTACTAAAATGCATAAGCTCCATGAGGTTTGCAATATCCACACCACTGAAAGAATATTGCATAGTGTGATTGTATGTAATTTATCATGTAAATATAATTTAGCACTGCTTACTTTTTAATTGTTATATAGAATATGGCAATCCATCCTATAGAGGTAATTATATGAACTGGAATTAAAACATGCCAATAATCCTTGGTCATTTGTTTCATTTTCGCGAATACTGAGAGTTTTTGTGTTGACTCTACTTTCGGGGCATCTCCTTTATTACCGCTCAACTTACAATAACGCGCCACCAAGGCATTCTTATCAAATTTGTTTTTATATGGCATTTCATATGCTTTAATGTGATTAAGGAACGAAACATAATTACACGAGCAGTTTCTATAATATGGATACCTTTCTGAAATCGACAACATTGTGATTGCGATTGTAAATTGCATTGTAATTTTACGCATTAACCTACCGAAAAATTTCAATCTCCAACGCCTTGAATCGGTACATCGTATAAGACGTGTTGTTTCTAAGAAATTTTTCGTCGCCAATATGGGACTAAATCCTAAAGTAGTTGCGAATCTCATGCCCCGACAAAAAGTCACATCCATTTTCGGAAAAACGAAATTGGCTATTTCTAACCAACAAACTTTGTAACTTGTACTGTGAGTTAATTAATCTGACTCTGTCGAGTTATACGTCTTGGACAGATAAATTGGACAGAACTTACCGAAAGATTTATTTATTCTAGAAGTGCCGGCCTATGTAATATTTGTAAAAATTACAAAAGCTTACATGTTTTTCGTATCGTGTACTGTAAAAGACTGTTTGATAATCGAAACAGAATGAGCGACAATTGAGCCATCTATCGTGTTTTATATCGTTACTGGTCACCATCTTTGAGGAGTTACTTTGTTAGGGATCTTCATGAACAATTGTTGGTTATTATTTGTGACAGAAATGAGGTACGGCAACAAGATTTAAAGATAGTTGTAAATAAATTTAATGTAAAATACTAATGGTATGTATACATAAAATATGATTTAGCATTAATTACGTAGTATAGTTACACGATGCAGAGATTGAGATAGAGATAGAGGTGTCTTATTACGTAGATTCTTGTTTAAAGATCTCATAATATATTTACATAATCTTTCATCATATATACAATAATATTTTACTTTATTTTTGTCTGTTAATACGTTGATATTTGTGTACTAATTAAAACCAGTGGAAGGAATAGCTGTGAAGTGATTTTTCGGGCGCCATTTTGGTACCAGTGAAAAAATAATGCTGAAATAAGTTCCATAGTTATGACATACTGTTAGCATATCTTGCAACTATTAGAATTATTCTATAGAATCTTTTATAGAATTTACCTGTATCATCGCGATTTGTAATCCAACCAACTACTGGTTCCATTTCGTTTTGTCGTTTTAACCATTGATTTAAAGGCTCGAAATATCTTAATATCGCGTCAGCATCCATTCTGTTTGTTCTGCCTCTTGTCATTTGTCGTATCACATCTTTCCAAGATCTAGACGATCCCATTGATAGCACATCGCTAAGAAAATAAACATAATTGTAATATTTTTTACGAGTATCAATTTTTTCCATTATTATATGTTTACACGTACGATAATAATCTTCCAGCATCTCTCGATCTATAAAAATCACAAGTATGTAGATCACCAGTGTGGCCAACTATTTCACATAAAGATTCGAACAATTGAAATTGCAAGACAACACCAACAAAATATCTAAAAGTAAAATTATATAAATATTAGAATTTGTTAAA